TCTGTCTGCACATATCCCTGCAGGCCAGAAGAGGACACCAGATCTCATTACAGATGGTTGTGAGCCACCATGTGGTTGCTGGGAATTGAACTCAGGACCTTTGGAAGAGCAAGCAGTGATCTTAACCTCTGAGCCATCTCTCCAGCCCCCATTGTTTAGCATTCTTACATGTATTGTGGGACAATGATTTTCCTGACAGACCCGTGGAGAATGGTCTTCCAATAGATGCATTTGGAATTCTAACCAGCCCCTAGCACTCCTGAGTTGTAGGACTACGTTTCTCTGTGGAATTAGGAAGAGCTTTCCTCACTCACTCGGGCATTTCATAGTACCAAGTCAAATTACGTACATTAAACTATTTTGTAAGTAAGATGGTACTGTGAAATATAGTTAGTTATTGCTTGTGCTTCTAGAAATTATTGTAGAAATAAAAAGAAAATAAGTTTAAAATATCAGAATGGGGGAGGGTGGGAAGAGGAGGATCTTTGGTGTGTAAAATGAATGAAAAAATTTTCTTAATAAAAAAAGAAAAATTAAACATCCTTTAATAAAATATTTATTAACCGCCTTATGGAAGGTTAGGCTTTGGTGAGACAGGATGAAGAATCCGAAACATTGTTTGACTCCAAGAATTTCATAGCCTATCAAGTCAATATCAAAACCAAATAAACCTGGTTTATTTATTACTAATCAACAGAGGTAAACAGACATTTCTCAAAAAAAGATAGATAAGTGACCAATGGGTATATGAAGCTGAACTCAGTAATCATAACAATAAAAAAAAACAAATGAGATGCCATATCGCCTCATTTAGAATGGCTATTATCAAAAAGACAAAAATAACGCACTGGCAAGGGTGGAGACAGAGAGGAATCCTCACATACTACTGGCAGGGATGCAGACTGACACTGCCATTGCAGAAAACTGCGTAGAGGTTCCTCAAAACATCAAAACTAGAGCTGTCAGGTGATCCGGCAGCCCCACTACTGTTTATTCAGCCAAACGAAACGGAATCACTATATTGAAGAGACATCTGCACTCCAGTATGCATTCCAGCATCGTTGACAATAGCCAGGATATAGAATCAGCCTAACCAACCCATCTGGGAACTAATGAGTCTTAACTATGGTAGAAACATGCAATGGAAGTCATTCTTTTAAAACCGTATAGCCTTGGAGACGATCCTGCTGTGTGAAATAAGTGACGTGCTGAACCACCACTGCATGGTCTCATGCAAAGGTGGGATCAGAAAACATTGGTCTCATGGAATGAAGAAGAGAAGGGTGGTTACCAGAGGCTGGGACAGGTAGGAGGAGAAGGGTAGGGCAGGAGTGGTTGACAGTGGAACTGTTCTAGTTAAATAAGAGCTTCAGTACCCAGTTTCAGAGGATAGTAAGTTATCTTAGCATGACGTGTTATATATGTATGTCAAAATATCTAGAAAAGTGGGTTTTAAACATTCTTGCTACAAACTGTGTTTAAGATGAATACATAGTTATGCTGATTTGATAGTTATATCATGTATGCATCTATCAATATATCTAATGTATACTCTTATAGATCTTTATGAATATGTGCCAGTTGAAATAATAATAAGTCTGATTTTAAAGATTACCCAATCTTTTTTTTTTTTAAGATTTATTTATTTATTATGTATACAGTGTTCTGCATGCATGTGTCCTTGCAGGCCAGAAGAGGGCGCCAGATCTCATTACAGATGGTTGTGAGCCACCATGTGGTTGCTAGGAATTGAACTCAGGACCTCCAGAAGAGCAGTCAGTGCTCTTAACCACTGAGCCATCTCTCCAGCCCCCAAGATTACCCAGTCTTAATAAGAAAGGATGAGGCCGGGCGGTGGTGGCGGCACACGCCTTTAATCCCAGCACTCGGGAGGCAGAGCCAGGTGGATCTCTGTGAGTTCGAGGCCAGCCTGGGCTACCACGTGAGTTCCAGGAAAGGCGCAAAGCTACACAGAGAAACCCTGTGTCTCAAAAATCAAAAAAAGAAAGAAAGAAAGAAAGAAAGAAAGAAAGAAAGAAAGGAAGGAAGGAAGGAAGGAAGGAAGGAAGGAAGGAAGGAAGGAAGGAAGGAAGGAAGGAAGGAAGAAAGGATGAGGAAGACTGAGGGGAAGTATATCTGCAAGGATTTAAGGGACAACATCAGAACGTCTAACTGTTTGCCATCAAGGTCTCAGATGGAGAAAGGGAAATAATTGGATTAAAAGAAAAAACTACTTTAAAAATTGATAGGCATTAGAAGGAAGGAAGTTCTGCTGGTCTGTCGTATGACAACATTTCTACAGATAATTTTTTAAATGTGTGTTTCAGGATAGCTACAAGAAAGCGTGTTTCATATCCTCACCACAGATGATTTGGTCATCACACGTTGTATACAGGGATTGAACAACGCACTGTTCCTCCTAGAAACATGTACAAAATGATACCTTGGCTAAACATATAAGCAGCTTGCAAAATTATTTTAACAACACAAGGAGTCAAAATGGACAGTGGCCAAGATACATTCCAATGACGGAATAGGAGCATGGGCGGACAAGACTATCAGTAACTCATCAACAACCTGGCATCTCAGTCGTCATGACATCCAGTCATCTCACGTGCCAGTGAAAACCAAGGACAAAGATGTTTAGTAACCTTTCTTAAGGCTGACAATTAGCTGGTGCAAGGTCAGACACTCAGTTTGGAAAGGCCCTTGACAGAAACTTCTTATTCCTGGATAGAATTTCACCCAAGACAGAGGAGGAAATCCATTTTGACATAACACATCCCTCCTCTGTCACCTTGCTTGGGTTGCTATTTTATAATAAATGTACTCTGGGTCTAGCTTCTTGCCTCTCAGAGGTTGATTAGCTCTTTCCTTTGTATAAAAACGCTAGCTGCGACAGTTTTCGCCCTGACCCCTCTCTTCTCCCTGCATCTCCCTCCATCTGGCCTCCTACTTAATATCTCTTCTGGGTCATACCCTTCAGGATGTTAACCACGCCACCTTGGCCATGCCCGCTCGCCAGTTAGTAAGCCTGATTTTCACTCTCCCTTCACTCTGCCTCCCCCGCTCCATTTCATCTCTCTGGAGACCCTGGTGTCTCCAGACTTCACAAAATACAAAGTGAAATATTAGCCACAAGCTCTGAAGTCCACTTAAACAGTGTATGAAATCAGCTCCTAGGAAAAGGCTTGGGAAAACAGTGCTCACTCCATCTTCTTGGAAGGATAACAGACACTGCTCTGAGACATAATTCACCTATGTGCAAGAAGCCTTATTAATTCCTGTTATTGATTTTTTTGAAATCATTCTAAAATTCTCACTAATATCTTATTGGATTGAGTCAGGAGAGGAAAGCAGACACCTGGCTTCCAGTAAGTTCCACAGCAGCACCGGCTTCATAACCTTAGATTTAGCGATGTAAGTTTGAATGTTTTTAGACATTCCAGGAAGAGGGTAAGGTCCATTCAACTGATAGTCTGTCTTCATAACCATTCCAATCCACAAAACACATCTTATACTCCAAACAATGAAGACGGTATAATAGACAGTTGTAAAGCAAGCCTTTAAACAAAATTCAAAAATATTCTGCTTTAAATTTTATTATATAAGTAATTGACCTTTTAGATTTTATTAAATATACTACTTTTCTTAATAACCAAATATAGGCAGTTTTAATTTTTTTTTAAATTTTCCATAGCAGCAGACATTTAAGAGCTTTATTTAACCTAGAATGGCTAACACAAAATCAATAAATATCTGAAAGCATATTGTCTGTACTAAATAGAATTCAGAATTATAACAACAAAATGTTCCAGAAACATGGAAGCCAAGAGCAATGATAATACAGTCAGTAATATTACCAAAGTTCAAAAAAACTATCTTTTCATGAAAATGGTAATTATATAAATAAGAATAAATGGGTTTAAATTCCCTAATGAGTGATGAGTCAAATTAGTGGCAAGATCAATCAAAATATATTCCCTATATGACTAACAACACTTAAATTTGGCATTGACAAATATTATTCAATTTTTTAATTTATGTAACAGCAGGATCATAGCATATGTCATCTCTAAGTCCACAGGCTACATGAAGTTATATAAAGAATGTTATTTGGGATCAGTGTGCTTATCTTCTTTTTCACCATTACCTTTCATAAACAAATATTTTTCTTTCATTTACAGGTACATTTTTATTAATACTTTGAGAATTTTATATGATGTATTTTGAGCCGATTAAGCGCGCGCGTGTGCGCACACACACACACACACACACACACACACACACACACCGTCTCTTTCCTTCCCACACTCTCCACACTCCCTGCCTTTCCTATCCAACTTTAAGACTGAGAAATAAACATTTTTAAAGTCAACTTAGATATGGGAAGTCCATCCACTCATTCACGTGTGCCCACGCATTCACACACTCACATGCACACACTTAGAATAAATGGAAGCTACTCCCCAAACATTCCCTTACACATTAAGGAGGCGTTCCAAAGTTAGACTCTAATCAATATGCAGTAATAGTCTCCTTCCCATTGAGTTTATTATCTATTATGTACCAAATGCCATGCTAAACCCTAAGTCAGAGAAACAAGATGCAGGCATTTCAGGGCTGGAGAGATGGCTTAGAGGTTAGGAGCACTGGCTGATCTTCCAGAGGACCAGGTGCCAATTCCCAGCATCCACATGGCAGCTCACAACTGTCTATAACTCCCGTTCCAGGGGATCTGGCACCCTCACACAGACAGACCTACATGTAGGCAAAACACCAATGAACATAAAATGAAAAAAAAAAATTTTTAAAGATGCAGACATGCTTGCCCAGGAGCTTACAGTTCAACGGATTTGGTAAAGTAAAATCCACGCACCACATAGCTGTAAACAGAGCTAGTCTACAAACGAGAAGCTTACAAACATTTAGGAGGAAATGAATAAGAGTTAGCACACAAATGCTGAAAACTATATTAATCAGAGCATAGAACAAATTGTTCTATGCCCCCCGGACGGACACGTCTGAGTCCAGCATCATCTTATAATCGGTTTACTGCCGTATACAAACATAATAATTTTCAGCATTCTGATGAAATGGATGACCCATGTTCTGCCCAGTGTGCTAAGCATGTGACGTGAGAACCAGGTCACACAGCCGAGGACAGTCACACACGTGAGCTCTGACACTTCCCGGCGTTAGCGTATCTGGCTTAGGAAACGAAACACCACTATCACACAAAGACAAATATTTTGTCTTTAGTCCTAAAGAAACCACTTTAGGAAAGTCATCTAAAATACAGCCAAGCAGAGCTATTTGTTGGGGAGGAGGAAGATAGTTGGTATTTCTTTCAGTTTTTGAGACAGGAGTCTCACCCTGCAGCCAGGCTGTCCTCATATCAGACTAGCCTCATACTCCCAGTAGTCCTCCTGCCTTGGCCACGCTCTAGTAATGGGATTAGAGATGTGAGGCCCCACACTCAACTCAAAGCTCTGTTACAAAGAGATGGTCATTTTCAGGGAGCAGCCAAGAGAGTGCACATGAAAACCAGTCTTCCACATCCGCCTTCCCACTACTCACAATACTGCTCAGGTAGAACCAGAACCCAGAGACTGTGACCAAACCTTGACATCTAAAGCTTTAAAAGGAGGCGGTTACTCCTGAAATTCCCAAAAATGATCTAAAGAGCTAATATTATCCTTGTAGGGTAGAATATATCCATATATCACATAATGGCCTGGCTATGAAATGGATAAATTCATTCTTTCAAATGGTACGAAACCATTCGTGTATAAAGAACAGACAATTTCTGATTTGTGTTTCAGGGGAATCGTGTGTTTTCTGACTAGAAAGCTAGAAAGTAGCCAAACACTTATTAATTCTGCCCTCACAGAGTCCCTGAGCAAAGTGCTGAGTCATTGGCGGGTTCAGCCTGCTCACCATGGGGAGGAAGCTGTCAGAGGTAAGAGTTGCAGTCCTCCCTTCTCAATGCCTGGAACAATATTCAGCGGTTAAAAAAAAACTGTCCAGAGTCTCACAACATAAACTGTACTCCACCAACTAACAGGACGAGCTTTGCCTGAGAAGCTGTTGGAAATACAGATTCTCGAGCCCTATTTCAGAATTCACACTTGAAAGGAATTCCTCCATGGGATTTGTGTCTGCACAGAGAAGGCTAAGAGGCAATGTCCTAAGGAAGAAGGAGGTATCATAGAACGACACAGCCCATTCCAAGTGTCTGACATAAATTTAAACTTCTATATACCTGGTACATCTCTGAAGACTTGGGGAGCCCACCAGAGATGACCACTCAGACACAGTTCATAGCCAACTAAAAGTCTTTATTCCAGCTGGCTGGGACGACACTCAGGTATTTGGGTTATAGGTGTAGCACCAAGTGTTCAGAGTACAGGGTCTTTAAAGGCAGAAACTTTGTCCTGACATCCAGCTCAGCACCTTCGGGAAGTGATGGGAAGGTGGAGGGGGGGTTGGAGGGAGGGGTAGTAGCCTCAAATTAGCAAACAATTTGACAGAAGCTAAGATAAGCAGTGGGGGGAGAGGGTGGTGAGAGAACAGTTAGCTGAGTGGGATGGTAATGAGCAAGCAAGCAATTTAACAGAAGCTAAGATAAGCAGTTAGCTGGAGGGGGTTCTGTGCAAGCCAGCCGTTCAACAGAGGCTAAGGTAAGTTGGTTGATGCATCTTGACCTTGAGTTCCTAGATTAGAGTTGGGTAATTTCTCACAGGATTCTTCGTCAAGGAGATCAAATTCAAGTTAAACCTAAAATATCCTCAGCAAGAATGCAAGATGGAGGGACTTCTGCACCGTCTTACCCTGTCACCTGGGTACCAACTTAGAGGGAGCTCATCATCAAATATAAAGTCATCTAAATGACAGGGAGCTGGTACACATCTCCCTAACCTGTCTCTGTGTACCCCTCTGTTGACAATGGCACACTCGTGGTCCTTCACATGCATACAGCCCTAGAGATAGATCTCTGGACTAATAAGTTATCTCAAATGTTGAATTCGTCGCCATCATGTATAACTCCGGAACCTCCACATTGAAAAGTCGACGCTTTTAAATCCTATTCTGCAGTTCAGAAAACCCATCCCATCATAGCAGCGTGTCTCCGTGCCAAGTCTCGGCTGTCTCCATTAGATGTGAGCCAGAATCTCCACTCTCCACTGCTCTCTAACTTCTCCCCAGCAGCACAGCCAACACTGTCAGTGGCCGTTGGTCATCCTCTACTTTGTCCCTTTCACTCATCTGTGTTCTCAGTCTGGCACCTGAATTTGCACTCCCTCCAACAGGCACCTGAATTTGCACTCCCTCCAGGCCACGCCATGTCTCTGATCTACTCCACATGTGTCATCCAGGAAAGGAAATGACCACTGGAGTCACTCCTTTGGCTGACAGACTTTGTGAGCTGTAGTCAGTCTGCAGTACTACCTACTTCATTTTAAATACACAGTATATGCTGCCTTCCGTCACAATCCAACCTGACTCCAATATTTTCATTATTTTGATTAATTAGCTCTTTCTGGAGCTGTTCTCCACGATTAAAAAATAATAATGACCAGCAAAAGCAGATACTGGGCAGTGCATTGCTCAGCCGTTCCTTTGGGGTCATCTCAAAACTCTAGGTGATTTTACCAAAACGGAAAATTCCTTGAGGACAGACCAGACAGTTGGATGGCTTTCCTTTTCTCTTGTTGAGGTAAACCAGTAACACAGCTTATGCTTGCTGTTCATATAATGAATGTCTATGGCTCCTAAAAAGTCATAATGATGCCCTAATCTTTGATGTGATATTTGGAAGTGGGGAGTTTGTTAGCTAATTAAGTCTTAAGAT